ATCATTAACTCTTAAATTAATTATATAATAAGTTGGTCATATAATATTTGACTTTTCTTAATTACACATTTATTATGTGCCTTAATTGATTCTTAATTGATCCTTAATTCTACCATAATTACTCCGACCAATCTCAGCTAATTGATTACCCATAATCTAACTCTTGATCCACATGACCATATTTCGAACATGAAGTCATCAAGTTCAATCCTTATTTATTTATTTATTATTATTATACACTTATACATTATTTTTTATTCACAATCTTCCTCTACTATCATCCCTCTTACCACATAATCTATAGCCCAAATTTTCTTAAAAAACTAATCCTGCTCATGACAGGAGCTAGATTTTCCTTGACTTTCATTCCCGAAGTCAACACTATTTATGATTAGTTCGATATCTGCAAATTTTGACCTCTTTTTCAATTTTTGACCCTATTTCTAGTAAAAGGCTCACGTAGCTCACATTCATCTACCTCTGCCAAATAATACTGACCATGCTTTCCTATCTCCTTTACCACATAAAGCCTATTCCATCGATAGTCAAATTTTCTTAGTGAATTATCAAGAGTAGAATCATAAACAAGCATAAGATCCCCTACACCAATGGGTTCTTTGTTCTTAATGCTATATTTATCATGAAACTCCTTCTACTTTAATTTTACCACATCTTTCTTTTTCTGAGCCTTATTTAACTCATATATTAGACCTTTTATTTGCTTTATCTGAAATTCGAGTAATTTGTCAGTTGTCCATTTTTGCTTAGTCATCATAACCTGATAACTCTCTAGTGTCAATTCTATAGGTATCTTAGCATCATAACTATAAACCAACTGAAAAGACGAATAGCTCAGATCATTCATAGTGATATTCATAGCCCAAATGGCTTCGCGCAAGTATTCGTGCTACTTGTTTTGTTTTTTAGCACATGACTTCCTCAGAATTCTAGTCAATTTTTGGACTATTCTTTCTGCTTTCCTATTTGCCTCAGAATGATAACTGCCAGAGAAGTTATGATTAGTATCAAGTCGTACAGTAAGCTCTCCTATTATGCCATTTCTAAATTCTGTCCTATGGTCTAAAATTAATTCCACAAAGTACCTATACTGCAGTATAACTTTCTCCCACAAAAATTGGGCTATGTTTTGTGAAGTTTTTCTTTTCAGGGCTCGACCCTCAATGAAATCCGTCAAATTCTCTATAGCAATAACTATATGTTCATATCCAGCAGATGTTCATGGTAATGGCCCTATACAGTCAACATATATTTTATTGAAGATCTAATTTGTTGCTGTCATATATATAGGCTCAGATGGCATCTTTAGCGCATACCTTTGGTATGCTTCATAAGAGGATATGTACTTTTTAGCGTTCTCATATATTATTCCTGTTCTCTACTCATAATTCATCAGAATTTTTCTGGTTACTGAATTTATTCCCTGGTATCCACCTTCTTCTGCTAATCCTTTATGATTTGCTTTAAGAATACGTATCTTCTCCTCGTCACTAAATATAACCCTTCGTGGCGGCTTCCTCTTGTTAGCTCTCCTGTACAGTTGGTTACCAATCAGACAATACCTTCGTACCTTTTATCGAAGCTGTTTTAAATCTATTTTACCTGCATCGGGTAGCTAGGAAAAGGTTTTCAAATAGTTATGAACTACCTCCAAATCTGTTAATTTAACGTCTTCTAGGTTTATATACATTATTATTGAATCTATAAACTCTTCATCATCAGTTGTTATATTTTCAGAAGAGTCAAGTGATCTGAACATTCTATTCGCATTTCTATGTTCTCTACCTAGCTTATATCATATATGAAAGTCAAAAGATTGTAGTACCAAGACCCATCTTACAAGACACCTTTTCAATATTGCTTTATTAAACAACCAGTTTAAAGCCTAATGATCTATCCATATATCGAACATAGTATTAGCTATATAGCGCTCATTTATATTATAGCCAAAAACTATATCCAGGCATTTTTTTTCTGTCACACTATAGTTGACTTTGTGTTTATTTAACTTTTGTAACTCAAAAGACATTAGCCTTAATTTTTGTATTTTGTCCTTTTGTTCTAACACTACACCAAGTGCAATATTACATGCATCAGCAAAGAGTTGCTAGGAGCAGATTCCATCTCATGCTGTCTGCCAATTCAGCCCTTTTAATATAGCTTTATCTAATAAAGAAGTTTTCAAGGTATGGAAGGCTTCAGCTTGTGTCTTACTCCAATAAAATTCAATTTTCATTCTTGTCAAGTCAGTTAAAGGTTTCGTGATTCTACTAAACCCCTTTATAAACTGTTGATAATAGTTCATTACCCTCATGAATGATTGTACCTGCTTGAGATTTGCAGGCTCTTTCCACTCTCTGATTTTTCAACTCTTTTTGGATCTGCTTTGACTCTTTCTTTACTAACCACAAAACTATATATATGCAACTCCTTACTTAATATAAAGCACTTCTTCACTGCAAACATCAATCCTACATCCTTAAATTTTTTAGCTAGTTTAATAAACATTTCAATATGGAACTCTTTTAACCTATTAGTCTACAACCTGATATCATCTTGATATGCCCCTGCAACCTCTTTCCATTCTTCGCCTTCTAATATTATATCCATTAAACACTGAAAAGTCTCATTAGCATTTTTAAGGCCCATACACATTACAGCATATTGGAGTGTTCCTAATAATATTGAAATGGCAACTTTATTCCGATCTTTCTCTTGAATGCAAATTTGCCAGTACCTCTTAAAAGCATCTATACATGAATACTAATCATGATCAGCTGCCTTTTCTAAAATGTCTCTTATCAATAGCAATAGGTAACTATCTTTAATGATGTATTTATTAAGAGGCCTCATATCACTGACAATTTGGAAATGATCTGTATCTCCCTCCTTTTTCCTTACTGGGAAACAGTGATATGCGTATTGTCCTGTTCCCTTTTCTAGTAGCCTGTATTTCAATATTTCCTTTTAGTATTTCTTGAACAATTTGGTATGTTCTGAGTTGTTAATTCATATAGGACGCATTCACGTCAGAGGTATCATCTTTCTACCTGTATGAACTTCATATTGAACTGGATCAGTTTTCCTAATCTCGGACAAATCGAAAGCAAACACATTTAGTATCTTCTTAATTAAGCGCTCCTGTAATTGTTGTTCTTCTATTTCAGACAAGGAATTCCCAATGTTCACCATGCTGCAATTCTCTTTTGTGAGCTGTATTATCAACTCCAGCTCCATCCCCTTGATTGTTCTGTCTTCATTTTCATCTTTCTTTAACCAACATACAACTCTCTCTTCATACTTTTGATCAATCATGTGATCAATATCTATACCACTAATTTCTCTAACTACTAAGTTATCAACGTTCGAGCCTCTACATACAACATCATCTAAGTATCATTTTGCATTCAGAAATTCTAGTATTTTGATTCCTATCCATCGTACTTCTAATAAACCTTCAACATCTTCCTCTTCACTCTCACTATATTCTTTGTTTTCACTTATCCAATTATTTGGTACTATCGAAGCTATAAATACTGCTTTTCCTTCATCTGATTCAATATTACATCAAAGTTTGTTGTCTTTCTACTTCAAACTACATTTAGATACAGTCAGCTAAGGCATACCAAGCAATATATCAAATCTCACAGCTTCCAAGATATAAAATTCCTGATACACTACAATACCTTTTATATCCACTTCAATGTTTGTTATACACTCTACAAATTTATTCAACTGATTATCTGCTATGCATCCTCTTTTGTTCGCTGGTTGCCAGACAAAACTATATTTTCGTACATATCTTTCATGCATCAGATTTAAATATGACCTCAGATCTACAGATACTGAAACTGTTTCACTATTAATTTTAGGTGTACTCATTAGTATATCATCTAATTTTAATTCATTTTTCTCAAAAACTCTTCGTACGATTCTGATTTTGGCATTCATTAAAAGAATTTCATCTTCTCACTTCTTTCTTGTTAGCACCTTAAGTACTTCATTACGGGCCTTGGGAGACCATTTGAACAGTTGACCCAATGTGATTGTTATTTCTTTTTCAGCTATTAGCTTGAGAATGTCAATTTCTTGACTCAGCTCAGTCATTAGTATATACATGACTGATTCTTTGGTAGGAGCTTTTTTATTAATTAGGCTAATAAATTCTATCGATTCTTTGCTCTTCCTCCTTTTAGATATAATTTTTTCTTCATCTATATTTGGACGCCACCTTTTACCAAGAGTTCTAATATCAAATAACTTCTCATCTTCATTTATATGTATCAAAAGATATTCATTATCTTTTTTCAGCACTTTTTCCATAACTTCAAAAAACTTTATATCAGCACATCTTACATCTGAAACTTTCTCCTGTTTGTTCCAGTTTATATTTAATCTATTGGCAGATCGATTCTGGTCTGACTAATTAGAGCAGTCATGTGACAAGTGACCCTCTTGGTTGCATGCATAACACTTTTGAAACAGGTTCTTACTCTGTCTCATATTTCCTTTATTTTGTACTGTATTTGAAGATGATGATCAACGTCAAAATAGGTTGTACTTCTTTTTTATGAGGGTTTGTATGCCTTTTAACAACTCTACAATAGTCGTTTCTATCTGGTTTAATCTTTCCGAATTTGGAAAGTGTTGATTATTGATGTGACAGACCTTCCTTACTTCCTGAATGACTAGAATTTCACCAGCCTCCTTTGTAACTAGCCTACCCTCTTCATTGGCATTAACCTGAACTAGATTCTTATTAATATATTCCCTATCTCAGTCATATTTTTCCATCTTAACTGCCAATTCTTTTGCATCTTCATATATATTCAGATATAAACTAATGACTCTTTCTCTATATAGGTTTCGAAGACCTTGAATATACTATTCTCTTTTTTCAAGATCTCTTAATTGATCCTGTGCCTCAGCAACATATGTATCGAAGCAATTGGTATACATCTGAACAGTATCATCTGCTTCTTAGACCATCTTTTTTAAATACTCTAATTTTTCATTGATGTCGAATGAGATTCTCTATTTTTCTACTATGGCTGCTCTCAGGTCCTTCCAATTTGAGTTATTTTTTCTTAATTGTATTATTAATAGTTTTAACCTATCTGCTATATGAGCACAATTACCAGGCTCTTTTTATTATCGTCTCAATCCTTCAATGCTACATATGCTTCAAAGTAAATTAAAAATTCCTCAACATTCTCATGACCAGTATAGATAGGTTTTGTTGGATCGAATACCCCCATAGTTATTTAGGTTATAAATTAAACTGGAGTATCATACAAGTTCTTCTACCAATGTTGTTCAATACCGTGTGAGATTCTACAAGATAATTAGTTAGAATATTCAATTCTTTAAACCTTATGTAATGTATCAATTAATACTGTTCTTTTTTTTTTTTTTTTTTTTTTTTTTTTTTTTTTTTTTTCTTTCTTGCATAGTACTTATTTACGTCCCAGTATTAGGGTGTTTTATACAACTTATAGGTTATTAACCTTTACTATTTGTATGATAAAAAAAAAAAATTTTTTTTTTTTTTTTTTTTTATAGCAGTGAGTGATTTCTAAATGACTACTAGTCATGTTGTGCCCAGATTTTTCTGTTGCAGTGCCTCTTAACCATGAATCTGACAATTTCTTAAACTATCAAAACTATTAGAGTCTCTTTATTAAGGTTATATTTTTATGTTAGTACTAATATTTCATTTGATTGATTTATTTTTGAGAAAACGCACTGATTTTTTTTATTACTTTTCATTCTGCTTATATATTCATATTTTGACTCTAAATTATTATATCATAAATTTATTATACGATCATTAACTTTTAAATTAATTACATAATAAGTTGGTCATATAATATTTGACTTTTCTTAATTACACATTTATTATGTGCCTTAATTGATTCTTAATTAATCCTTAATTCTACCATAATTACCTCAACCAATCTCAGCTAATCGATCACCCATAATCCAACTCTTAATCCACATGACCATATTTCGAACACGAAGTCATCAAGTTCGATTCTTATTTATTTATTTATTATTATTATATACTTATACATTATTTTTTATTCGCAATCTTCCTCTACTATCATCTCTCTCACCACTTAATCTATAGCCCAAATTTTCTTGAAGAACTGATCCTGCTCATGACAATACTAGCCTCAAATGCTCAGTTGACGAAATGATAATAAAGTTTTCTAAAAAAAGTATTTATATTATTTGAATTAAGAACAAACTAACTCTAGAAGGGTTTAAGGTATTGTCGCTTTGTAAATTTGAATATATATTCACTTTTTTGCTAACGTTACATGTTTTTTCAAGTGATATAGAAAAAGTAAAAGAGTATACTAAACTAACTACATAGTCCATCATCTTGTTATACAACTTTCATATTGTCAATTTCTATTTAAAATTTATATTATCACAAGTGGCATAGCCTTCTTAATATATCACAAGTAATATAAAACATAAAAATAGGACTTCTAATGGTATTAAAGTAGAATATCACATCACTATAACAGTTATTTAAAGGAAGTATTAGACAAGGCCAAGGTATACTTTATTAAGAGATTAATAGAGAACTTTGAACTTTATTGAGTATTATATTTTATTAAAGAACTATATAGACTATATAGACTATATAGAACTAATATAAGAACTATTTTATAAGAGAGGGAAAAAACTAGAATTTATATATCTTTATTCTAAATATTGCTAAATATCCTCAAATATAGTTAAACATAGTTAAACATCATCAATTATAGCTAAACGTTATCAAGTATAGTTAAACATTATCAAATGTAGTTAAATATCATTAAATATAAATGTTACTCATAATGTAAATCCTAAAGTAATTCAAGAACTACATATACTACAGATATGATTTATAGCTTATTTTAAAGGTCTAATCAAGCTACATCAAATGATGTAATCTAAATCTATTTTTAGCTATTAAGAATTCAAAAGAAATGCTAATATATAAATCTAAATATTAAATATAATATAATAATAAATAATTAAAAAAATATGCTAAAGTTCATTTGATAATATTTCTGTTTCTTTAAAGAATTTATTCTATAAATACTAAATATAAAACTAAAACTAAAGAAAATAATAATTATCTAATTCTAGTATTAAATTTTAGTTAAAATTATTCAGTAGAATTTGAATATTTCACATGACTAAAATTAAAAAAATATTCAATGATATTTGATTACTTTTGTTTTTTTTTTTTTTAACCTTAGGTGATCTTACCCTTCATTTTATTAAGAGATATATTATACTGATATATAAACAAATACAGAAAAAAAGAAACAAAATTCTAATTTTAAGTTATGTCCTCTTTGTTGCAATTCTAGATTTACTCAGCTACCCAAATAGTGCCTAAGTATGATCTGTCACAGCAGCAATTTTCCTTCTGAAACTAGATATATGTCATAACATACTTGCCTAATCTCTATCTACAGAAAACTACTCCTAGCCAATATCAAGATCACTATAGCAGGATCACTCTATCCTTAATCTCAGATAAATCTAAGAAGAAAGATAGAATATAGTCTAGCTATTATGTAAAAAAATAAAAATTATATAAATCTAAATAGCTATGATTTATAACATATTTCAAATTAGAAAAACCTGCTACAGGTGTAAAAAAACTGATTTGAAAAAAAAAATAAAAAGAAAAAGTAAAAAAGATAAGGAAAAAAATCTAATTTATGAAAAGAAATTTCTTCTCAATTGATAAAAATATTACATATGCACAACAGTGAAAATGTGTATCTCATTGTTTATACTGATTCCATGATTAGATCTAAACAGGTTGTCCCACATGTTTAGCACATTTATGTGTTGTTGTTTTCCTATATAATATTGTATATCAACAGACTATCCTAATTTGGAAATGGTCAACAATATCGATTTTTGTATGGGGTATGCCAAATCCCTACAATTTTTCAAAAAAAAGACCAAAAATCAAGAGGGAGAGTAGTAGTTGTGAAAACCATAGTGGTAAAAGAGAGTAAAGTACTTGACACAGCACAAGTACTGTAGTGAGTATTTCTTCTTCCTTTTCTTCAACTTTCCCTTTTAATACTTTAGAACGAATAATATATTTCACCAAAAACCTTGATAGCTACTCTTCACTAAAGCCAAGTTTTATGCTATGCTACTTGTATCTACTCAAAAACTAGTGCCAAACTAGTTTGAGCTTGCTTCGTGCTGTTTCTTCTATTAAGGTTGCTGTGTATTCTTTAAAATATTGGCTTTGTTATAGTTTTTCAATAAAAAAAGGTTTGCTTCACATATGGTTCAAGTGATCATCGAAAAGAGTTGTACTCGAATGATATTTGATTACTATTTTCTAGAAATAGATAATTATTATTAATATTTTTAAATTTGATAAAAATATATAAAATAATTAAAGCAAGTCTAGTGACCTAGTATAGTAGTTAGATTGTTAGACTACTATGCAATAGGTCTGGAGTTTAAATCCCACTATCAATAAATTTGAATAATTTTTCAGATCTTGTGATATATTACAGTAAACTCTGTTCATTTCTGAGGGTATATTCCTGTAAATTGAGTTGTACCAAATTAATTAGAACTTAGAAGTATAGTGTAATATTACACAAATAAATCTTAATAGAATATATAAGCAGGAGATCTGCATAGTAGAAATCCTGAGTTAGTGAAGTAGTATAGCCTTCCAACAAGACTATATCAGCTAAAGTCTGATCTAAAAAGAAAACTTAGTTTAATAAAAGTAAAAAGTTTTGAGGTCTTTGAACAAAAGGTAACTAGAACTGGCTAAATACTAAAAAAGAACTAGGTTAACTGACTAGTAAAAGACTATAGTAAAATCTGAGATTGTACGAATATCTACAAAGGTCTAAACTAGATGAATTCATAAAATGAGTACAGACTACTCTAGTAAGTTTGCTTTGAAGTTAACTAGCTCTGCAATACTAGCAATATATCTGATATAATATATTCTGAGAGAATCTAAGCTATTCTAAATAAATATATTTGTAATAAGCTAGCTAGCTTAAGTAGTTAGGTATTGTAGTGATGTTAGGTTAGATCTGTATAGATTAATAAACAGAGTGTTTAAATAGATAACTCATAGGCAGATTACAGATATAGTAGCATAGTGTAGAACTAATCAGGTAGCCTAATACCTGTATAGCAAACTACTTAAAATAGACAATTACTAAAGTTGTATATGTGACTTGTTATATATTCTTTATATAATTACAAATAGTAGAGATTATCAATATATAATCTCGTTGATAAATCTAATAAAATTCTTTCAGTAATGTAAACTACTTTAATAACAAAAAAAAAATAAAATAAAATAATTAAAGCAACTAAGTAAAAAGAAATCCTATTTAGTGCTAGTCTACTATCATAACTTGTTAGTAGATTAACTGTCAACTAGCAGATATTGAACTTATAACCACTAGTCTTATAATTACAAATCTAAACTACTTTACTAAAGCAAGCAGATAATAAAAATTTTATATGCACTCCTTAAGAATATCCAAATTTGTTAACAAGTAGCTAATAAAAATAAAGAATTGTATATGTTTGAAATTAAGATTTGATTAATTTAAGAAGAAAATTTAAAGTACATTAACTTTAAATTATTTCAAAATTTAAGTTTGCTAATATCAAAAATGATAAGAAAATATAGAGATCAACACAGAAGGAAGAAGTCACTATACAGAAATATAAAGATGTATAATAATAATATAGCAAGAGTATAATAAAAATAAAAATATTAAAAATGAAAATTTAAATATATAGAGTTGAGAAAAAAAGAAAAGAAAAAGAAGAAGAAGAAAAAATAATGCAAAAAAATAAAGAAATTTGATATTTGAAGCAGAAAGTAGAAGAGTTAAAAGAAAGAGAAAAGTGGAAATATGAAGAAGAGAGCTTTAAAAAAAGAAAAAAAAGAAAAAAAAAGAATAAAAAAGAATAAAAAAAAAAAGAAATAGGATTTATTTCAGCAGAAAAATATAAAGAAGCAGTAGGTTTAGAATAAAAAATAATAGAGAGAAGTGTGCTGAAGTTGAAAAAAAGAATAAGAAGTTGAAGAATGAGTTGAAAGAGAAAGAGCTTATAAATATAGAGTTATTAGAAAAGACTAATAAGTTAGAAAGAAATATGATAAGAAGTTTAGAAGGGCAGGTAGAGAAAATGTTAATAGATATTGATGAGGAGAAAGTGAAATTAGAAAATGATT